GGTGTGCCAGCATATCCCATTGCTGGGTGTGCCCATCAGCCTGCTTTTCTTTTTGCTCTTGCAAATTCCCCCATTCCCTATCCCCTATGTGTGTTAATGTGAATTGCTTCCCTCTTCCTTTTCCCCCTTCAGAATTCCACTTCTACACTTGCACTCTCTCTTAGTTCCTAAGTTCTGCCCCCTCTTGTGAGCCTTGCCTTGGGACCTTGAGTTCCCTCTGAACTTGGACATTTGAGGGTTGGCCTTTCCACACTGCACTATGTCTTAATATGGTAATGCAATGGGGTGTAAGCACTGCCCGGAGTTCATGTGGGGCTCTTAGGGAACTTTGACACACCCCAAATGAGAGAAGGGCTTTGAAACATTGATCTCTTGGAGTTGGTTTACTTCATACTTCAGACAGGAAGTCTGAATCAGGCTCTCCTTGGTTGTAATTTTTAATTTATGATGTATTTTTCTTTATTTTACTTTTCTGGGCTGTAATAACTTTGTAATAAACTTTCGGGGTTGGCTAGTGAAAAGGGAAGGGTAACCATGTATGCGAAGGGTAGATAACCTGCCTATAGGAGTTTCTGATTTTCTGCACTTCCATACGTAGATAACCTGCCTATAGGATCTCTAATTTCAGCATTCTCATATAGATACCATGTCTAGTGGAATTTCTGCATTCTTTCACATAGATACCATGTCTATAGGAATTTCTGCATTCTTTCACATAGATACCATGCCTATAAGAATCCTGCATTCTTTCATGTAGATAACATGCCTATAGGATTTTCTAATTTCAGCATTCTCATACGTAGATAACATGTCTATAGGATTTCTGCACTCTCATGTATAGATACCATGTCTATAGGATGCATATGCATGTAGAGAATATGCCTATAGGTCCTTTCTGATTCTTGCATATCCACTTCTCACTAGGCAAACGTGTTTATAGGTCTTTATAACCAAACGCAATCAGATGTCATGTTCCAGCATTTAGATGTCATGCCTGTAGGGTTTCTGTATTTTTACTATGTCTATAAAATGTGTTCTAAAAGAGAACAAATGCATAGAAAGCATGCCTATAGGAGCTTTAACCGAATCTGAATCACCTCACTCGTTTATAAGTCTAAAACTAGCAGTAATAATGTATTACCAATGGCAGAACTTGTGCACTTCTAAAACTCGCTTTTAACTGGCAACTTTTCTTAAATCAATATGTAATCAGTTCATATTCTTGTTTCTAAAATCTGTAGATATCATGCCCATAGGTTTTCGTCTATCACTTAGGCAAACTGTAGGATAAATTTTATAAACTGAATCAGATCTTATTAGCTACAACCAACAAGTAGGCTTGCTTCGGGCTTCTTATCTGAACTATGTAATAAATCAGTCTGCCTCAAACCTTATAAGTTTAATTAGACCTTAAACAGTACGTGCAAGACATGCTAAACTATGTGCTTTCTTTGGTTTAAATGAGGTCTGTCTGAGCCTTTTATTTGTTTATATGCTTCCCCAAACTTGCTATAGGATTAGTAGTCCCAAGTGCCTCCGGGACTGATAGGACTGGGGCGGGTGATAGCATGCAATAAGTAAACGAGACCATTCCGCGCTTTAATACCTTAACGGGGTGGGAAAGGGTAGATATGGATATGATAACCACGCGATAACATCACGTGTAGCCCCTCACTGAGGAGTGATTACCGGGTGTTGTGTGGGGTGGTCCATATTATTTGTAAACCTAGGAGCCCCCCTTCCCTTTGTTTCTTTGATTCTTTTCTTCCTTTTCAAAAATTTAAACTATTTCTCGAAGGAAAATCAATATCCCTCTCGTTCTTTCTAACTTTGTTTATTTGTGACCATTACATGAAAACCCCCTCTTATTTGTAACTCTTACTTGCCTATGTGTTATTTTGTATTTAAGTCACAACAATAGTTTGGCCGGGAACCACACTAGTGGATCCTGAGGGGTGCCTAACACCTTCCCCTTGGGATAATTTCAAGCCCTTACCCAATCTCTGGTTACTTGACTCAAACCCTTCTTAGTGTCCTAATGCACTTAAATCATTAGGTGGAGACTCTTCAATCCAAAACCCAATTCCCAAAAGAGAACGAGTTGTCCTTCCAAATGTCATAAACCCGATTTCCGCGGAGGAAAAAGGGGGCGCGACAGTAATTCCTATCTAGCTTGTTTAGAAGCATTCTATAGGAACCCATTTATAAACCTTAAACCTGCGTGTTTAAGTCTTGGCTAGAGTTAGTCAAGTTTCAAAGTCTTTGTAATGGCTTGTAACAGGTGTGTTACAAGTTAGTGAGGGATTGAGAGTTTAATTCCTAGGTTTCATAGGTTGTAATCTGAAAGTTTCTCAGTAGTGAAGTTGAAATCCTACAAGGGTAGGTCGTGGTTTTTAATCCCATTGAGCTGGGAATTTTCCACGTAAAATTCCTCATCTTATTTAATCTCTGCTTTGCGTGTGTGTACTGTCGAACCTGATAGAGAACCTGGTTCTCTATAGAAGTTGGTAGACCCTTACATTCTATCACCTTTCAAACACAGGACTTCAGATTCTTCCATTCTATTTCTTGTGCTGGAGTTTGTTGAGACTTCATCTCTTCAGCAAGATACAACTCCTGCCTCTACCATCAACAACTCTCCTTCTTCAGCTCCTATTGAAGATCCAATACTCAACTCTTCTGAAGATCCCTCTACCTTACCATCTGCTCCGGCAGTAGAACTCAGAAAGTCTTCAAGAACCACCAAGACACCTGTGTGGCTAAATGATTTTGTGGTTCTTTCATCACAGTTATGAAGAGACTGTGATGGGTTTACAATACCTTAGCTTTATGTTTTGATGATCTAACAAACTTACTGTCAAAGAACCAGATAAGGAACCTGACACACTTGGTACACAACTCAAATCAACGGACTCCGGCTTATGTGAGTTGTTATGACTTCAGAAGATAGAGAATCAACACAGGGACCTGATACCCCTGTGTTTCCTTGACAGCAGTATAAAGTCAACTGTATACATCTGGAAAGTGATTGCCTGCATTGTACACAAAAACCGTGCAGCACAGTTCTGCAGTCACTTCTTATTTGACCTACCAAGTGATTACATAATTCACGTGATGTCATCCATGTTGTTAACATTAAACATTACAACAAAACATCACCTGAACACTTGAGAATTCATTCAAGCACTCCAACCGTTTTGCCTACCAAGCATTCAATTCTCAAGTGCATCAAGAACAAAGAACAACACTACTACGGTCCAGTTCCTACAGCAAGTATCTTGTATGTCCTTAGTTGAGTTGTAACTTTGTAATTATTCTTCATTGTAATTCCTACTTTGCTTATCTAGAAGCGTTACTTAGGAACCCTTGAAAAACTATAAATCGTTAGTGTTTGTGTCGTTACTAGAGTTAGTTATGAGTTGAAGTCTTTGTAATAGGTGTATTGCAAAGTGGCTTGTAATAGGTGTACTACAAGTTAGTGAGGGATTAAGAGTTTAATTCCTAGATTGCATAGGTTTTAATCTAAAGTTGCTCATAGTGAAGTTGAAATCCTACCAGTGTAGGTTGTGGTTTTTTATCCCCTTGAGCAGGGATTTTTTTCACGTAAAAACTCCCCGCTCTCTTTACTTACTGTTACATTAGCATTCTCAGTGGAAACTCATATAGGACCTGGTCTCTATATAGTTTGGTGGACTCATATATTCTATCAGACTGAGACTGTTGGCCCAAGTAAAGGTTAGTTTTGAAGACTGACAAAGGAACTCAGACATGAAACAGGTCCATCCAGTGGTCCATCCCTCAGGTTCACAAAAATGGGCAGATTCAAGCATGTGGGTTGCACGTGATGGAGATAAGCTTAACTTGGTGTATTTAATATCTCCTGATCGAAAAGGTTTCATAATTGATAAGGAGAAGGACTCCTTAATCAAAGAGAACACTATTCAAGATAGGGAAGGAGTTAGAAGTTGAAATCAACTAGAACTCTTCCACCAAGAAAGAGTTGCATCAGAACTCTAGTTATTTCTTCATCTACTAACTCTATAAATTGCAGGATGTTCTCACATTACATGTGTTGCACAAAAACGCAGAAGTTAAACGTGAATTGGGAGCAAAATAGCAAGGCTTTTTGCAAGCAATTCGTGTGTGATTCAAGTGTGCAAACCTGAAACTACAAGAACCAGATTGAAGAACCAGCTCCATAAAGAGTTTTATGTGTCTTTCTTTATTTCTAGTTCAATTGTAGTAGGTATTTTATATTGTACCTTTCAGCTTTATCTAGAAGCAATTGTAATAGGTAATTTGAGTATTCAAGTTAGAGTTAACTTGAAGTTGTCGCAGCAGTTAGAGGCTGGTTGCCACAACAGGATTAGAGTTAATCCTTAGGTTTACAAAGAGTTTTGTAAATGCAGTTTTGGCTCAGTGATTTTAGTGGAAGTTTGGGAAAATCCTACTGAGTAGTAGGTCGTGGTTTTTTCACCTTTTGAGCCAGGTGTTTTCCACGTAAAAATCTCTGTGTTCTTTATTTTATGTACTTTTAATTCCGCAAATAGTAGTAATAAGTACACCTAGAAGAACCAGGTCCTTCCAGAAGCAGTTTAAGCAAAAAATTGAGTACCACACAAATCACCCCCCCTCTTGTGTGGTATTGACGTTTAGAACATCAGAGACCACTATGACAAGTTATGACTCTGTAGGTATCACTCCTTCGTCTGTTGAAATCGCCATGGAACCACAAGAAAATAAGGGAATAGAGAATACATTTTCCATTGCGTCAGAAGGGGTCATTATAGAGGAATGTGTAGGAAGGTCTGAGCCTCAGAAGGAAGAGACAGAAGAATAAGGAGCAATCGTGCCATTTGAACAACCGGCATAAGATGTTGCTACTGGGGTCCCAAATGATGAACCTGATCCCTTCATGGAGGATCCAGGTCAGGAGTCATCTCCCTAGGTCAGTATCGATCCTGCTCCCTCTCCCCGCTTCGATGTTGAGCCTTTTAAATATGGTGGTGCCTGAGACTAATCCTGACAGTGAAGAAGACGTAGATGATTTGGTTTATGCTAGTTTTATTAGGGCTAGGACTAAGCCAGTGGCAACTTTAGAGCCACCTCCTAAGCGACCTACTACGCGGTTGCAGCAAAAGGAAGCTCTAGAGTTTGCCGTCAAGAAGAGTAAAAGGAGTCGGACAAGGAAAAGGTTGGTCAAAGATGGAAAAGTTTTACAAGCAAAGGATGTTCCTGTAGTGGATGTGGATGAGGAAACCAAAGAGGAACCTAGTTCCCTGACCCGCAAGCCTTCAAGGAAGAAGCACTCTCTCTCTCTCAATCCGAAAGGCACACCTCTAAGGGTGTTGAGAGTTCTTCCAAGAGTGCTGTTGCTGGTTCCAGTAAAAAGTTGGTAAAAAGTTTTTGTGACAAGACAGTGAAGGAGCATGGTGACAAGTCTGATGAGGAAGAAGTGGAGAAATCTAGTGAACATAGACAGAACAAATCAGTGAAGAAGGAAAAGTCTGTTGGCAAGTCAGTGAAAAGAAAGAGGGATGATGATGATGATGATGAGGAACCTGGTTCCGTCAAGAAAGGAAAAGTGGGTGAAACTCTAAGGTCTGAGAAAAGGAAGCTGAGGAATCAGAAAGTGCTGTGGGGCCGCACATTTGCCTCTAAAATTCTAGAGAGTGCTGGGATGAGACAATTAGTGGATATTTGTGATGCTCAACAGTGGACCAATTTGTTTACAAGTGAGGCTCCTATAATATATGAGGATGAGGTGCGGAGTTTCTACACCAGCCTTTTCACAGTAGATGGTGATCAAATATGTGTGTTGGTGAATGGGGTGGACATAGTGATGGACTCTACCTTATTGGGGTCAATTTTGGGTGTTCCTACCGAAGGAGTGTCATCTGCTCAAGTTGCTTGCACACTAAACTTTAGAAATGCCATTGTTAAGGACAAGGCAATACAACATGGGGAACAGGTGCATAAGAAGGCAGTCCTTGTAGTTTATCAGCTGCTCTTTGAGATGGTTAATAAAGTATTGCTTCCCCGTGCTGAAAGAAGATCTGTTGCATCCAAAGCTGATCTACTCCTTATGGGGACTTTGGATAATTTGTCCTCCATCAATTTGCCTGCCATAATGATTGAGCATATGCAGAAGGTAGAGAACCTCAGAGACGGAAATCCTGGACTGCCCTATGGGTTCTATCTCACAAAGGTCTTTGAGTTTTTCAAAGTACCTCTGGGACAGGCCAAAGTGGGCACCAAAAAGCAATCATTTTCAAAAACTACTCTGGAGGACTGTGAGTGTATTGACAAAGTCGGAGGAGTTGGAAGCACTTCCACAATCTCTCAACTGATAAATGCTCAGAATAGTGCCACAGAGGAGATCCGAAAGTTGAAAGCTAGGAACGCGATTCTTGAGAGTCAGCTCAATCAGTTGCAAGAGGTATCTGGTTCTAGTGGTTCTCACAGTGCTGAGGTTGCACGCCTAACAAAGGAGAATGTTGAACTAAGGAAACAGGTAGAGGACCTAAAAGAAAGACTGCTAAATGAGCAAATGTCCGCGAATGCTCGCATGGATCTTGTCCTCCAAACTCTTGCTTCCTCTTCCAAGCCCCCTTCCTCCAGTGTCCCTTAAAGAATGTCCCCTTAGTGTCCAGTTTCTAGTGTCTATCTTCTTAAGTTATTGTTGGTAATGTTTTGTTATTTTTGGTATGTGTTTTTTGTTTGTTCTAGACTGTGGATGAAAAACAATGATTCTGCTCCCGCTTGTAAAAGTCCAATTCTGGTTAATCAAAGTGATTTCCTTTTTGCTATCTATGCTGCTGCTCTTTTACTTCTGTCTTTTATCATGTTGTGAGCATATAAGTGGTATGAGTTAGCTATGTTAGACTTCTTTATGCTGCTAAACTATTCTGTGCTTTTTATGATACCAAAAGGGGGAAGATTTAATTGAATAAACAAAATGCAGATTCGGGGGGGGGGGGTGGGGGGACTCATTCAGGGGGAACTCACAAAAGTTCAGGTACTAACTAAAGGTGAATGCAGAGCTTCAGGGGGAACTTAAGGTCTTTCTGGTTCACAGTCTGGTTCCTTTGTGGCTCCTTCTAGAAAAAGGGTGAAATTGATAGGTTACAAGTACTTTGGTTATTAGTACTTTACTTTATGTCTTGATGATCTAATAAACTTACTATCCAGAACCAGATAAGGAACATATTACACATTTACAAGACCTCAAGATCATAAGGTTCCAAGTTGGGATTCAGTGTGGAATATGATTCAACTCCTCAGAGTGGAAGGAATAGATGAGGGACCAGGTCCCTACCAGTTCCTAAGGAGACTGTACGAAGTCAACTCTATAGATGGAAAGTTTCTTCCTGCACAAGCTACAGTGTAGGAACAATACTGCGGTCAACGTTCCAGGAAAGACACTTTACCTACTTTGCTTGCATCATTACATGTGATGTCACACATGTATATATGGATTCAAGGGAGCAAAGACTTCAACACGTAGAAATCTTACTCAAGCTCACTCACGTGACCATCTAGAAAACAAGTGCCAAGTGCTTCAAGAACAAAGAACAAAACAACTACGGACCAGTTCCCACATAGAGTTATTGTATGTCCTTAGTTGAGTTGTAACTTTGTAAAAGTTCTTTAATTGTAATTCCTATCTAGCTTTTTTAAAAGCCTTCTATAGGAACCCATTTGTAAACCTTAAACCTGCGAGTTTAAGTCTTGGCTAGAGTTAGTCAAGTTTCAAAGTCTTTGTAATAGAGTCATTGCAAAGTGGCTTGTAACAGGTGTGTTACAAGTTAGTGAGGGATTAAGAGTTTAACTCCTAGGTTGCATAGGTTGTAATCTGAAAGTTGCTCAGTAGTGAAGTTAAAATCCTACAAGGGTAGGTCGTGGTTTTTAATCCCGTTGAGCTGGGAATTTTCCACGTAAAATTCCTCCTGTTATTTGATCTCTACTTTGCGTGTGTGTACTATTGAACCTGATAGAAAACCTGGTTCTCTATAGAAGTTGGTGGACCCTTACATTCTATCACCTTTCAAACACATGACTTCAGATTCTTCCATTCTATTTCTTGTGCTAGAGTTTGTTGAGACTTCATCTCCATCTCTTCAGCAAGATACAACTCCTGCCTCTACAATCAACAACTCTCCTTCTTCAGCTCCTATTGAATATCCTATACTCAACTCTTCTAAAGATCCCTCTACCTTACCAACTGCTCCAGCAGTAGAACTCAGAAAGTCTTCAAGAACCACCAAGACACATGTGTGGCTAAATGATTTTGTGGTTCAATCTCAGAAAGGTGCTTGTAAATATCCAATTTCGAACTATGTAGGCTACAACAATCTTTTCTCCAGCTTATCAAGCTTCTATTGGTGTTTATTCTGCTATTTTGGAGCCTAGGTCTTTCTCTGAAGCCAGTTAAGATCCCAATTGGATTGAGGCCATGAAGACTAAAATTGCATCTCTTGAGGAAAATTACACCTGGTCAGTAGTAGATCTTCCACCAGAAAAAACTCCTATAGGCTGCAAGTGGGTGTTCAAAGTTAAGTACAAGTCCATAGGAGAAGTAGAGAGGTACAAATCTAGGTTAGTTGCCAAAGGATATAGTCAGCAGAAGGAGCTAGACTATACTGAAACTTTCTCGCCAGTTGTCAAAATGGTAACTGTGAGGGCTGTCATCGCTCTAGCAGCTGCATCAGATTGGTTTATATTTCAGATGGATGTTCGTAATGCCTTTCTTCCATGTGATTTCTTGGAAGAAGTCTACATGACAGTGCCTGGTGGTTTTCAAGCTAGGGGGAGTGTAGTAAGGTTTGTAGGCTGCACAAGTCCTTATATGTGTGAGCACGTGATTTTTGCCCTATATATGAATCATTCCCAAAATTCAAACAAAATAATTTCTTTTCATTATTTGCAATTTTTTTTTGAATTTTGTGGCATTTTTGTGTTAATTGTTTGCATTTGTTTGTGCATGTTTATTTTATTTAATTCATGAAAAATACAAAAAATATGTTGCATTTGCATTTAGGATTTAATTTGGCATTTTTTTTAAATTAGTTAGTAATCTATTTGTGTTACAAAAATAGAAAATCACAAAAAATAACGCATTTTGCATTTAGCTGCGAATCTTGCAGTTTTCTTTTAATTCGGTACTTAATTAGTTGTTGTAAATATTATTTTGAACATTAATCTAATTTGGTAGGATAATTTTGGTTTAAAATTAATATAGGTTTTATTTAGAAAAGAAAGAAAAGATTTGAAATTGAAAAGAAATAGAAATATAAGTCTGTTTGGGCCATCTTTAATTTCCTAAGCCCCAGGCCCAAACGTTTTCCCCAAACCCACTCCCATACCCGTCCAAACTGGCCCACGACCCGCCCCCAGAACCCACGTCTCTCCCCACGTAATCCAAAACGACCCGTTTAAACCTAGACCAAACTACAGGACCGTTGATCTCTGTTGTATTCTAACGGTCCGGGTAAACCTGGGGTTTGGTTTAAGTTATTTATATGTCCGAATCTCTACCCCCCACCCCCAGAACCCCCTCAGGCCGTCTCCCTCACCCACACTCACCTCGTTCAGAGAACAGCCCCCTCCGCCCTAAGCCACTGCCCGCCGTCCGCCGGAAATCGTCTACGGCGACGGCCGGCGTTCAATCACCACCAAATCTTCACCATAGCATCCCCTCCTCCACCCAATCCCAAATCTTCAACCATTTTTTCTCAAATCTTACCGGAATGTCTCGAATTTTAGAAACCCTAGCGCCGCCTCCGCCGTGTCCGGCGGCGCTGACCCCAATCTACCCTAAACCATACCAAAACAACACCATGGAACCCCCCTCACCCCCTCTTCCTTAATCTATGACCCATTAGCCTCGAATCTTAGTAGGATTGTTCGAATCTGGGTTTGAAGGGATGACCTAAATTTCCAAATAGTCCAGTCAGCGAGGGTTTAGAAGTTTCGTGGTTGGAATCGATCTCAGTTGTGTGTTCTCATTTGAGAACACACGATTGAGACTTATTCCGGCCACAAATTCAAAGATGCATCGAAGCTTTGTTCAAGGAGGATTGGGGAGGTATGCTTGTTTTTCTTTTTCCATTTTTATTTTTGTTTTGCTATCCGCATCTGTCTTCTTCTTCTTTCTTCTTGTTTGAAGCATGTGTTCATCTTAGTTTTGTTTAGGTCGTTCAATTTCCAGAAAACTCGTGTCGAATTCGAAAGTATTTAGTTCAAATTTGTTTGTGTGTTTTAGTTTCAATAATTATGCATCTCTCTTAATTAGTAATGTTAGTCCATAATTTAGTTCACTATTTTAGTAGTTCCAGTTTACTAGATTTATTAGTCTAGGAGTTAATTGCTTTTCTTTAGTTTATTTGATTAGCTTTAAGTTTTTTTTTTTTTTTTTTTCTTCTTTCAAATCTAGGACGCATTTAAATCCTCAGTTCATAGTTTGAGTAGGCTGATTTCCTTGAGTTGAATCATTCTTGACCCATGTTTGGACTGTTTCAATTACTGGGTCAGCTTGGCCCATGAATTTCAAGGTAAAAACAGGGTCATTAAAGGGTATTTTAGGTAAATTAGAATCAGGGAATCTTTTGGTACTGATTTGAGAAGTCCCTAGAAGCTTCTAGGTTGGAGGTTTGAATGGCAATTTCTGATTTTTGGTAGCATAACTTGGGTAGCAAGTCAGTAATTGAGGGACACCTAAGCTAAAATGAGAATTAAAGGGGGGGCAGGGTGCAAAATTGAAAACATAAGGTCTGCCCTAGTCCCTTGCCTATAAAGGCATCTTAAACTTGCCTTTCAAGGCAAGGGGGGAAGAGCTGAAAATCCAAAAACAATAGAGTTTTCAACATTCTGAAATCCGAGAGAATGAAGGGCTGAAATACAGAGAGAATAACTTGAGAGAGGAGAGATATAGAGAGAAAAAGATCAAAAAAAAAAGCTAGATAGTTCTACTGTTCTATAGGAATTCAGAGATAAAAGTTTTCAGAAAAGAAAATCAAAAAAAAAACTAGACATTCTGATGAATAACACTGTTCTATTGAAATCTGTTTGGGGATCTTTTGGAGTTTCTCTGATTCTGAAGTAGTTTTGATTGGCTGAATTCACAAGGGTTTGAAATCGAGTCTAGTCTGAAGTTGCTAGGGATTTGGTTAATTAAAACTGGGTTTCAGACAATCATACATCATTTCTGGGCTTTAAATTGGTGCTGTTTCCTCTTTATTGGCTCTGTTGCTATACTGTTTCAAAATTCTGGTCTAAGCTGATTTGTTGAAGTATTGTTCTGTTGCTACTCATGTTTCCTCACTCTTCTTTTTCCTTTTAACCTCCAGGTATTATATCTTGAGCTCTATTAAACACGTGAAGTCAGATTTGATGTATGAAATAAATATTGGGGATTCAGAACATGGCTTCAACCAGTGTTGTGCTTCGTTTATTCGACATTGTATTGTAGTCATTTCATTTCTTAGTTAGTTTCTGTGTGATTTAAGGATTATTCGCCATTTGTTGTAGTAAGAGTTTATTTAAGCCATGAAAGGCATGTCTGTGTTTGAGCTCTGCTGAAACTGATGGGTGTTTGATCCGTGAATATTCCATGTAAAAATGTGGATCAGCTGAATCCATGTGAACTTGTTGAGCTAGGAACTGTTCAGGGCATCAGTTGTTCATTTCCTGTTTGGTTTTTCGATTCGAGTCATGATAAGAACTAGCTGCGTTTCCATGATGAGATTGTTAGTAAGTTCATACTGGTATGTATATGATAGGCTGGAAAATGCATTTAGTGTAAGGTGAATTCAGCCTCTTAGTATCTACTAGATCAGTTCGCATAATTGCTATTGTGATTAGTTCGGAGTTTTTCTTGGTTGCTTGGTTGTTCAATCCTCTTTGAAGCAATTAATTTTGGAAGCTAAGTGTACGGCTATGTGTATATTTTCCTGGATTTTAATCGATTGGCATATGTGCAGTTTCTGGGTTAATTGCTAAATAGGCATTCATGGTCGTTTGAATTAAGTCTGGGCTAAGTCCTGTGTTTTAAATCAACTTGGTATTGTTCAAATCTTGGGCTTGGGATGCTATTTGGGCAGCAGTAGGATTCGATCCTGGGCTCCTTGTTTGAAGCCGGTGCTGTTTGGAGTGTTTGGGCCCTTTGGGCCTAAATGTTATCGAGGTTTTTTTTAGTTCAAGGCGGCCTCTTTGTATCTGGCAGCCTAATAATTGAGAGATTTGGGCCTGAGTATTATACAAAGTCTCTTATTTAGCCTATATGAACATTAAAGTTAAAAAGGCTAAGGATCTAGGATCAATTAAGCGAGGTGTGCCACGTTTAGCAAATGTAGTTATGGACCTCAACAACGTAGTGTGAAATTTCCTTTAAGATCAGAATAGAGGTGTGCCAAGCCTAACAAATTTCAAATGCTTGGCCCTCTTTAATTATTTGTGCAAATCCTTAGACCTCGAGATGGGCCGTTTAGCGAATTTCACGGCTTCTCCAAAGATAATAACGCGGTGGTCTCTTTAGGCACGCAATTTAAATAATTTTACCTTCCTAAATACGGGTGCACATTTATGTGACCCAAATCCAAATCCCAACGAAGTCGAAATGCGTCAACAATCGTGGGTGCATTTATGTGACGCGGTTCGAGAAGTATTTTCACGACGTTGCAATTCTCTTAAAATAATGATAATAAAAGCGGTTCAAAGTTAAAAAGCATAAGCTAAAACATGTTTTGAAATCAGATAAATAAGCCGAATATGACAGTTGAGCGACCGTGCTAGAACCACGGAACCCGGGAATGCCTAACACCTTCTTCCGGGTTAACAGAATTCCTTACTCGGATTTCTGGTTTGCGGACTGTTAACAGAGTCATAATTTCCTCGGATCGGGATTCAAACGGTGACTTGGGACACCATTAATCTCCCAAGTGGCGACTCTGAATATTAATAATAAATCCCGTTCCGACTGTCCTTTAATTGGAAAAACTCCTTTGCACCCTTGCGGGTGTAGTAAAAAAAGGAGGTGTGACAATATGGCTTGAACAAGGCACCTAGACAATGGAACCTAAAATTGACTGAAACATTGGTAGATATGGGCTTTGTGCAGAGCCACTTTGACTACTCCTTGTTTACGAAAATGGTTGAACATGAGTTGCTGATCATATTAGTGTATGTTGATAATCTATTGGTAACTGGAAGCAATTTACCTCTTATTAACCAAGTCAGGAAAGATTTGGAAGAGAGGTTCAAGATGAAGGACCTAGGAGAGTTAAGGCATTGGGTTTTCCAGATCTCAAAAGGGGATAATTGTGTGCTAGAGGAAGTATGCTCTAGAATTGGTGTCTGAATCAGGCTTAGCAGGTGGCAAACCAGCAACTAAACCTTTAGAATTCAATCACAAACTCACCTTTGTTGCGTTTGACCAGCTGATACATAGTGGAAAGAGTGCTACTGATGATGCAGAACTTGATGACAAAGGAAAGTTTCAGAGGCTAGTTGGAAGGTTATTATACTTGACCACTACAAGGCCTGAAATAGCCTTTGTGGTACAAGTACTCAGTCAATATATGCATGCACCAAAAGTGTCCTATATGGAAGCTGCCTTGAGAGTAATTAGATACATCAAAATAGCACCAGGACTTGGTTTGTTTATGCCTGCAGGAAAGTGTCGTCAGTTAGTTGCCTATTGTGACTCAGACTGGGGATCCTGTGTAGAGACTAGAAGGTCTGTCACAGGATATATGGGGAAGTTTGGAGAAGCCTTAATCTCCTGGAAGTCCAAGAAATAAGGAACAGTCTCCAAAAGCTCTTCCGAAGCAGAATTTCAAAGCATGGCTGCCACTGTAGCTGAGGTTGTATGGCTGACTGGACTGTTTAAAGAACTAAGGGTTGAAGTTTCACTACCTTCTCGACTATTCTGTGACAGTAAGGTTGCTATCCGAATTGCAGCTCATCCTATTTTTCATGAAAGGACCAAACACATAGACATCAACTGTCATTTTGTAACGGAGAAGATTTTACAAGGAGTCCTACAGACTCAACACATTGGAACAGCAGATCAACCAGCAAATATATTCACAAAAAGCTTGTGTAGATCACAACATGAATACTTGTTAAGCAAGCTGGGAATGAAAAATGTGTTTCATCCCTCAGCTTGAGGGGGAGTGTCAAGAGAAGTGGGACCCAGCTATTTATGTAAATACAGTTAGTTGGTTAGAAGTCTGTTAGTGGTTAGATACAGTATATATACAGTAGTTATAGTAGTGGTTGTACGAACTTTATCAGTTGAATCATTTTTCTTCTCAATACACAGAAATGATATTGCTCTCTCTCTCTCTCTCTCTCTCTCTCTCTCTCTCTCTCTCTCTTCTAGAGTTCTGTTCATCTACTTCTAGAGCTTTCTTCTGCCATAGCTGTAGCTCCTTAACATTTTTCAATCTTAAGGGGAAGTTATCTGTAAATTCTACCACCTGTAAAATTTCGGTCTTTTCCGACCTTTAAAATCTGCCCAATAAATTTTCAATCTTTCACTTTAGTGCTTTGTGTTAGAAGTTATGGACTTGCACATATATTGTATTAATATAATTGTGTGTTGGTTACTATCACTATAAGGTTGGCCTAAATTAACGTGATTTACTATGGTTTAACGTCAAATATGCCAAAAGGATACCTTATAAAGTATGGGATCTTATGTATAGATACACGGGCATTTTTTCTAGTTTAATGATGGGCTGAATTAAAAATACTTAAACTTGTGCACCTATTAAATGCGTTATGGTCCCCAAATCCGACGTAGGGTTTTCCTTTCTGACGCTGGAAAGAGTAGAACGGCTCACGTCTTGGTTTGGAAGCCTGTAGACCGAAAGATTATCTCTGTGGCTCTCATGGATTCAGGTACGCTTCCGCATTTAGTTTATTTTTAATGATTTGACATGATAGTTCTTGGGTAAAAGATGAAGGATTTTATCTTTAAAGTAATTTTGGTTCTAATAATTGGTATCAAGAGCATATATTATGTCGAATCATTGAGGATTTTATTTTAGAAAAATCTTTGAAAATAAGGTTATTGCTTTTAGCAGATGTTTTTTGCGGTATCATGTTCATTGCCATAAAAGCTCCCTTTTGGATTTTAAGTTTTTCATTACAAATCTTAGTGGGCGTTTGGACATAAGAATTGTAAAATTCCAAAAAAAAGTGAAAAATAAATTCAAGTGAAATTGGTATTTGAAAATTAGAGTTGTGTTTTGACATGAATATAATTTTGGGTTGTTTTTGAAGTTTTGTGAGTAATCTGAGTGAAGATTTTAAAAAATAGCTTTTTGGAGTATTTCAAATTTTCGAAAAATTTCAAAATACATCATCAAGTGAAAATTGAAAATTTTATGAACAAACGCTGATTTAAAAAAAAGTGAAAATTTTTCAAAAAAAAAGGAAAAATTTCTTATGTCCAAACATGCTCTTAATAGTGTCGTCGTTGTAGCGGCATGTGAAATTGATGATGTGGGAGTTTGACCTCTGTTTAATATACACCGCCAGAAACCATAACAAAGGCCTTAGAACCGTCAATATGGGCTTGGACCGTGGGCCAACCCAGCCCAACCCGTGATTTAGTAGGGTTGGGCTAGAATTTTTGTATCTCATTTAAAGATAAGGCTTTTAAGCCCGGCCCGAGTAAGCCCGTGGCCCGTGAGACTTGACTGAGGCTGGGCTGGGCCGACCCGTGGGCCTGATAAATATTTATTTAACATATTAAAAGTATACTACCTCTAGCAATGGAATGTCAGAATTGGATCTTTACTTAGAGGAACCAAAGCTTGATCTTGAGAAGTTTCAAGTGATGAATATTGTCATGTATTGGAAGAACCTTCTACAAAATATCCCAATCTTTCAGAGATGGCGCATGATGTACTTAGTATTCCTATTACTACTGTAGCATCGGAATCAACATTTAGCATTGGTGGGCGTGTTCTGACAAATCACAGAAGTTGCATCCATCATGAAAATATCCAACCACTTGTTACTACTCGAAATTGGCTACATGACTTTTCTCAAACTCAAACTAGTAATATTTTTTTATGTGAATTGAATATTATTAGTTTTCAAATTTTAATTATTCTTAATATTTAACTAATTAATATTGCATATAAATTGTAGATAGATGAAAATGAAGATGTTAAGACAACCTTGTCACAAGCTGATTCAAATATTTTTTTATAAAGATGATATGTTGGATATCCCATAAGCGTCATGGACTTTTGAAACTTGTGATCTTAAAAGCTTAAGGGGTAAAAGCTTTATTGGGCCATGAAATTTGTGTGTCATAAAAACTTCTCATTAAGGGTAAAATGGGTAAAATAAAGAGTTTAAAGTTGAAGTATTTCCAAATTTAGAAATGTGTCATTTATTTTGGAACAGACTAATAAGAAAAGTACCTCATCTAATTTGAAACGAATAGAGTAATAGTTTGTCCGAAGATAAAATATTAATGGAGTGACCGGTACCTTGAGATGGAATTTATTTTTATTTTGGTTTTAAGTATTATGTGAGCTTATCTCGTTGTTTGTTGATCTCTGGATTCAGTTTAAATGACTTCTGCAAATATTACTACCAATATCAATCCAATTCTAGAAACATTCGGGGGCACTATATCTCAAAAAGACTACGATGGCTAAGGAATACATGACCAAAATTGAAAACGAATTTGTTAAGAATGAAAAGGAGAAAAATCATACACTCTTGAAAAATTCGAATTCAATGTGGTACAGAAAGAATAAGAAAGTTGCGGTTACAGCAATAGAAAAGAAATAACATAATGAATTAACTAAGGATAGTTATTTCTTCAGTGAAGCTGAAAGTCATCAGAAGAATGGTATGCTTCTTAATTTTGTTTGTTCTGAGGTTAATTTGACTTCGGTACCAAAACATAACATCAGTGTGTCTATGCAGGGTTGCCTGAATTGCCAAAAGCCTAATGATGGTGAAAGATACATTTACGTTGGTGATGGCAAATCTGTGAAAGTCGAAGCAATTGGAACTTTAGATTATTGTTAAGAACTAGTTTTTATTAGGATTTGAATGAGACTTTCATTGCACCATCTTTTAGACAGAATTTGATTTATGTTTCTGTATTAGACAAGTCTGGTTATTTTGTTCAATTGGAAATAGAAAAGTCAGTCTCCCTTATAATTCGAAATTGGTTGGTTCCGGTTCTTTATCAGGTTACGATAATCAATATTTACTCGATACGGTTGCTTCGTACAATGAATCCTTGTATGTTAACATAACTGGTAATAAGCGCAAATTTACCGGCGAGAATTCAGCTGCATTGTGGCACGAGAGATTAGGCCATATCTCCAAAAGGAGAATTGAGAGGCTTGTGTCCAATGGTATTCTCGATCCCCTTGATTTTTCAAATTTTGAGGTTTGTGTTGATTTTACTAAGGAGAAACAAACAAATATTAGGAGATTTGGAGCCAACAGAAAATCTTAGAACTAATATACACTGATATTTGGGGACCGTTCCCTACAACTTCTTGGAATGGTCAACAATATTTTATATCGTTCATAGACGACTTCTCAAGATATGGCTACCTTTATCTAATTCATAAAAAATTCGCAATCACTAGGTATGTTCAAATATTATAAAGCTGAAGTTGAGAACCAACTCGGTAAAAGGATTAAAAATGTTAGATCTGACCGTAGGGGTGAATACTATGGTATATTTGACGGATCAGGTGAACAGCGTCCAGGGGCATTCGCAAAATTCCTATAGGAATGCAGTATCGTCCCACAATACACCATGCCGGGTTCGCCCACTATGAATGGTGTTGCTAAAACATGAAACAGAACGCTTAAGGATATGGCAAGGAGTATGATCAGTCATTCTACCTTGCCTGAATCACTTTAGGGAGAAGCACTAAAGACCGCAATATATATAATCAACAGAGTTCCGACTAAAGCGACTGGTAAGGCCCCTTATGAGCTTTGGATAGGAAAGAAGCCTAGTTTAAAGCATTTACACATTTGGGGATGTCCAGCTATGGCAAGGACTTATAGGCCAAATGAAAAGAAACCGAACTCTAAGTCTGTAAGTTGCTATTTTATTGGATACTCTGAAAGATCCAGGGGTCACAAGTTTTATGATCCCACTACTAAGGTTATTTTTTAGACAAATAATGCAAGGTTCTTTGAGGATGTTGAGTTTGCGGGGGGAGAAAGATTTAAGGATTTTGTCTTTGAAGAGGAACATATTGAAATACCTCTAGTTGCTATTGATAATGCTCAGGAACAGCTTTCCATTCATGACATTGTTCAAGAAGCAAAGTCGGATCAGGACAATGCTATCTATCCTCCTGTTCAAGAAGTTGTTACGAAAGAACAAACTATACAGCCTAAAGAACCAATGCCATTAAGAAGATCCACTAGAGATAACAGAAATGCAATTCGAGATTATTACATTGTGTTTCTCCAAGAACATGAAGTTGACTTTGGAATGATGGAAGATGATCCAATCAACTTCCATCAAGCCATGAAAAGTTCTAACTCTCAAAAGTGGATTGTTGCCATGAATGAAGAGATGAAGTCCATGAAAGACAATGACGTGTGGGACCTTGTCCAATTGCATGAAGATGCGAAACCTGTTGGTTGTAAATGGATATTTAAAATCAAGAGGGATTCGATGGATAATGTGGAGAGATACAAGGCACGTCTTGTTGCTAAAGGGTTCACACAGAAAGAAGGCATCGATCATCGAAAGACTCTTTCAGGACTATAATGGCATTACTTGCAC